ATACAGGTTTTTCTCAAGATCTAACAGAACCCTTACCAAATGGACCATAATTGAGGCCATAAAAGAAGACTCAATAAATTTAAATGGATTTAAGGAATTCAAAGTATACTTTCTGACCACAAAAGAACAAATCATAAATTAATAGCAGAAAGATATCTTGAAATTTTTCAAGACTTTGAAAATTAAATATTTTTCATAACCAACAAGTCAATGAAGAAATCAAAAGGGAAAAAAAGCAAGCACTTTGAATGGAACAAAAATGAAAATATATATATCAAAACTTGTGAAATTCCACCAAAGGAGTGCTTTGGGGAARGTTTATGGCAATAAATACCTATAATAGAAAAAGAAGGAAGGTCTCAAATGAATGACCTCTACTTCCACCTTAAAACCTTAGAAAAAAAGAAGTACAAGTTCAGCCCAAAGTAAGCAAAATTAAGAAAACAAAATAAAGACCAGAGAAAAGAACAGAAAACAATATAGAAAAATAAAATCAAAAACTGGTTGAGAAAATCAATAAAACTGATTAAAAACCCTAACCAAATTGATCAGGAAAAACACTAACCAAACTGATGAGAGGGAATTCARAGAACACAAATATCAGAATGAGCGAGGTGACATCACTACAGATTCTATAGATAATAAATTGTAAGACCATTATTGTTACAGTTTGGATCTGGAGTGTCCCTCAAAGGCCCACATGTTGAAAGCTTGGTCCTCAAGCATGGTGCTATTGGGAGGTGGTGGATCCTTTAGTAAATGGGGCTTAGTGAAGTAAGGTCAYGGGGTATGCCCTGGAATGGAGATATCAGGACTCCATTCCAGTCTTTCTCTTTGCTTTCTGGCCATCATGGCCTCCTCTTCCACCATGATCTACTATGCTGCTGCAAGGCCAAAGCAACAGGGACAAGAGATCATGGGCTAAAATCTCTGAAACCATGAGSCAAATAAACCTTTCCTCCTTTTAAGTTCATTTATCTCAGGTTACTTGTTGCAATAACAAAAAACTGACTAGTGCGATTATGAACCACTTTACACCAGTAAATTTGACAAGTTACTGTGCCGAAGTGGAGAAATTCCTTGAAAGACATAAACTATGAAAGCTCACTTAAGAAGAAATAGATAACACAAATATCCCCCTAGCTAATCAAAGAAATTGATTTTACAGTTAGGATCTTTCCCACAAAGAAAACTCTAGGCCTAGATGACTTCACTAGTAAATTCTTCAAAACWTTAAAGGAAGAAATCATGCTGGTTGTGCGCAAGAAAAATCATGAAATAGGAATAATTCCAAATTCATCTTATGAGGTTAGCATTACCATAATAACAAAACCAAACAATTACAAGACAATAAAATTAAAGACCAATATATTTTATGAATATAAATGCAAAAAAAATTCAAACAAAATTTTGTAAATTGAATCAAACATGACATTAAAAGGATAATACGTAAAGGTCACATGCGAACTTTCCCCAGTATTACAAGGTTGGTGCAACATCCAAACACCAATCAATGTTATTAAAACTAAAAGGAAAAAATATGTCATCATCTCAACAGGTACATAAAAAGTGTTTTTTAATTGAACATTCATTCTTGATTTGAAAAAAAAAAAACTATCAAAAAAGTAATAGTACTCAATCTAGTAAATAGTACCTACCAGAAACCTACAGTTTACCTCATACTGTTTTAAAACTAAATGCTTTCCCTTTTAAAGAAATTAGACAAAGATATTTGTTCTCATAATTTCTAATAAGCATTATACAGAAAGTTCTAGCTAGCATAATTTAAGAAAAATAAATGCATCTAGGGTAGAAAGAAAGGAGTAAAGCTGTCTTTATTTACAGATGATATGATCATCTGTCAAAAAATCTAATGGAATCCATCAAAGTAAGTTACTAAAGCAAATAAGTCATTCTAGCAAGGTTGAAGAATAAGAGATAAATATACAAAACTAACTATGTTTCCATTTACTAGCAACAACCAAAAATTGAATTTTTATGTTAAATTTAAATGTGGGGTGAGTGGAGTACCAGGGAATGAACCCAGGGGTGTTTAACCACTAAGCCACATCTCTAGCCCTTTTATTTTCAGACAGGGTCTTGCCAAGTTGCTTAGGGCCTCACTAAATTGCTGAGGCTGGCTTTGAACTTGTAATCCTCCTGCCTCAAACTCCCAAGCCACTGGGATTATAAGAGTCTGCTTGTTGGCCCAGCTTGAATTTTTAAAAAATTTAATACCATTCCAATAGTATCAAAAACATGAGACACTGCCCAAAGATCCACAAATATTTCAAAAGATATAAAATATATTTAGAAGGAAAATTATAAAACATTGCTAATAAAAATTAAACAAGATCAAAATAAAAGAACACGTTTTTATTGGCCAGAAGTTTCTGTACTGTAATTGACAATTCTCTAAAGATTCAGTGAAATTCCAATCAAAATMTCATACTTTTTGTAGAACCTAGAATGGACAAAACAACTCTGAAGATTAAAAAAAGAAGCAGAGTTGGAGGACTAATATTACTTGCCTTCAAAAGTCATTATAAAGCTACAGTAATCGAGATAGTAGGATAGTGGAATATTGGCCTCTCAATAGACACACAGAATCAACAGAACAAAGTAGAGTCCAGAAAGAGACCCACAGCTATATGGCAAAAATACAAAAGCAATTCAATAAAAAAAGGAAAGCCCTTTTTAATTATTAAAATTTTTATTAGTTATACATGACAGTAGAATGTATTTTGACACATTGTACACAAATGGAGCACAACAGCTCATTCCTCTGGCTGTACAAGGTGCTGAGTCACACCAGTGGTGAAGTCATACTTAGAGTAATAATATCCATCTCATTCCACTGTCCTTCCCAACCTCATGCCCCCTCCCCTCCCCTTACTCCCCACTGCCCAATCCAAAGTTCCTCCATTCTTTCCTATCTYGCCATCCCCATTATGGCTCAGTATCGGCTTATCAGAGAAAATATTTGGCCCTTGTTTTGAGGGGATTGGTTTATTTCACTTGGCATGATATTCTCCAATTCTATCCATTTACCTGAAAATGCCATAATATTCCATTGTATGTATATATACTATATTTTCTTTATTCATTCATCTCTTAAAGGGCTGGTTCCATAGTTAGGTATGTGAATTGAGYTGCTATAAACATTGATGTGGCTGTGTCACTGCAATATGCTTATTTTAAGTCCTTTGGGTATAAACCGGGGAGTGGGATAGCTGGATCAAATGGTGGTTCCATCCCAAGCTTTCTGAGGAATCTCCATACTGATTTCCATAGCAGTTGCACAAATATGCAATCCAAACACCAATGTATGAGTGTTCCTTTTTCCCCACTYCCTCGCCAACATTTATTGTTGCTTACATTCTTGATAATTGCCATTCTGAGTGAAATAGTTTTGATTTGCATTTCTCTAATTGCTAGAGATGAACATTTTTTTACATGTTTGTTRATTGATTGTGTTTCTTCTTCTGTGAAGGTCTATTCAGTTCCTTAGCCCATTTTCTTTTTAACAACTGATACTAGAACAATTGTATATTCTTAAGGGAAAAAATAAACTTTGATCCATACCTCACAACATATACAAAAATTAATCCTAGATATATCAAATATGAAAGGGTAAAATATAAAATTATAAAATATCTAGGGAAAAAAGAAATTTTTGTCACTTTGAATTAAGCCAAGATTTCTTAAATACAATACCAAAGGCACAATAAAATTGATAAATTGGATTTCATCAAGATTTTAAGACCTGTTCTGAAAAGATAAGCTACAGAGGGCTGGGATTATGGCTCTGTGTAAGAGCGATTGCCTAGCATGTGTGAGACACTGGATTCAATTCTCAGCACCACATATAAATAAAAATTAAGGTCCATTGACAATTTTTTTAAAGTATTAAAAAAAGAAAAGCCACAGAGAAAATACTGCAAAACATCATCTGGTGAGGAATTTATATGYAGAAATTATGAAAAATTCAGAAAACACACAAACCGATAGGAAAAAACAGAAACAAAGATTTGAATRCTTTGACAAAGAAGATATACATGGATATACATGAAAAGATGTTTGACATCATTAGTCAAGAGGGAAATGCAAAATGAAATGCAAAATAAAACCAGTATGAGAAACTTAACATCTACCAGAATTTAAAAAAAAAACAAAACACCAAGTGTTGATGAGGATGTGGAGGAACTCACCGACACTGTTGGGGGAACATGGAATGACACCTCTTTGGAATTCAGTAAGTTAAACAGGCCACCTGCCATTTATCTAGCAATTTCATTCCTAGYATCACCTCATAGAAAAGAACATACATGTGCATACAAATCCTCAAACACAAATGTTCACGACTGCTTTATTTATCGAAGCCAAAAATTAGAAACAACCCAAATGCTTATCAACAGTTGAATGGATASACAAATCATGATACATCCACATCAAGAACTAGTGCTCAATAATTTTTTTTTAAAAAAAAAGGGGGGGAGAAGTATTGACAACAAGTAACCACAAGGATATAGCTCAAAATAAATATGTAAAATTCTATAAAGAAGATAGACATAAATAGAGCACATACAACTTGATTTCACTCCATAAATCTCTAGAAAATGCATACTAATCCACAAAGACAGAAAGAGATTGGTTGTTACCTGGGGATGGGGACATCATGGTGGGAAGAGGGATTACAAAAAGGCACAAAAAACACTTTTGTGCTTGATGGAGATACTCATTATCTCAATTGTGGCAATGGCTTTCACATCACAGTTGTACACATAYGTCAAAAGCTATCAAATTGTACATTTTAAAAATGTGGAATTAAATATGGGTCAACTATACCTCAGTAAGATTTTTTAAAAAAAAAAAGCATAATCGACATCTCAATCGTTGTGGATATTTATTAGACACAATCTAAATAAAATACAGTGCAATATATAATGCAGTTTCCATAAGGTCAAAATACTCACTCTAAGAATGTTTGCTAGACTTACCTCAGCTGCTTGCTTTATTAACTTGCCCTCCCTCTCAGGCTTGSGTGTTGAATCCAACTCTATACTCTTCTGGGTGGGTGTGGTCTCCACGTTAATGATGGACTTCTCTCTAAATGATTGTTCAATCACATCCTTAACAACACTATTTCACAATCATTGGAAAATCTGTAATACCATCACTTCAGATTTGTGATTTAAGACCTTTCAGATTTGTGATTTAAGACCTTTCAGGTTTGGACTTTGCAGCCTTGTTTCTGTAAAGCCAGTTGCTTTCATACAGAACAATTGCTACTTCCTGGTTTTCTGGTGTCTATTTAAAACGTTAGTGATAGCAATGTGTAATGTGAAAGTGGTCAGGTGCAAAATGGAGTCATTGATGTCCAACCCTATGGAAACAGAGCCAGCCAGAGGGAGGCCATGAAGGGTRGGTTTTCATGCACAAATTTCCCAATAATAGGAACTACAGCAAGGAATTCCACAAAAAATCACAAACTTTCAGAAAGACCACTGCAACCTAGAAAAAAGAATATTTCCAGCAACTAACTGTTCAACTTGGATTGGTGCCACCCTTCTCATTGGTCYTTGAACACCCTTATGGGACAGAGTTTATGTAATCCTCCTCATTTTGCCTTTGAAGTTTCCCTTTACCACACTGCCTTGAAATACATTCAYGATTTCCATAGCGTGTGCAAGAATCCTGACTTATTCCCAAATAAATATCATAAATTCATTRTTCTTCAGAGTCCATTTATCCTTCCTTCCCTTCCCCTTCCCCTTTCCCTCCCTCTCTTCCCCTCCCTCKCRCTCCCTCTCCCCCATCTCCTCTYAATTGACTTTTCAGGTTTTTTTTTTATTTGCTAATCTTTTAAAATGTTTATCCWAGTGATACTATAATATGGACTTAGAGGCTGCTTTTGCCAAAAGCATTTCACTTGGGCCTATGATGCAAAAAAACTTGGCGTCTTGGGCTTCATTTTGTATCTGTCTCTTTTGCGCTGATCGGTGGCCTTGGATTCCAGCAGCTGCAGGTCTACACTGAAAGCACCTTAGGATGTGTCAAAACTATCCCCCAAGCAATGGCAACTTTCTTATTGCCACCTACAATGCCCTGTCCAATCTACAATGATCCTGAGATACAGATCAGATAATGATCAATTAGACCACAGTTTGATCAAGACTACTGGTCTATGCATACTTCTGATACCACTTGCTATAAAATCTGGGTGCTCGTGTCAATTRCCTCAAAGACAGAGCTAGAAATGCTGGTTCCTAGTCTGCCCAGTATGGCCATACTGACGAAGGCTCCTTTCCTGCTTTTCACCATTATTTTTCCATTTGGTTTCTGGGGCAAGTGGGCAGACTTGATTTGCTAGAGCCCCTTAGTCTGCCCTCTGGCCCACTACTCAGGTAACAATACTTGCACACTAACTAAAAGAGGAAGGGGGAAAAAAAAGCACCTAAAATTTTATAATGAATCGTAAAGAGGCTCTGCGCCTTCCCTTCTCATTCCAGGGGAAAGCCTCCTGAACTCCTGAATTGTTTCTTCCAATAATTAGCTCCATATTTCTAGAAATCTTCTTAAGCTACAAAGCACTACAACTGCAAGAAATGTGAAAGAAATCAGTCTATTTTTGCAGAAGAGGACTGAAATGGAAGGCAAGAACATGCCATTGAGATAATCTATTTGAGTGAAGTATTTCAAAGCCAAAAAAAAAAAAAAAATTCCAGGTATGAATCCTATTTGTACTGCCCACTCTCCAACCTTGAGCTAGTAAATCCATGTGTCTGAACCTCAGTTTCATCATCTTTAAAGCAGAGGTGATGTCTGTCTCAGAGTTTTCTAGAGAGTGAAATGAGAAACCATATCTATACATTTGCTATATTACCAACTCAAAAAATGACTTGTTTTACCTTTCCCCTGGATTTAACTCATCTCCAGAACTCAAGGTGTGTTCAGCACAGGTCTTCTCCAAAATTTCAGCCCCTTGGCATTTTTGTTTAAAGGAGGAAAGTGGCATGCTTTTAATGAAAGTACATTGAGTCAATCTGCAAGAAAAATTCCATCATTCATTGTTAGTGACTGACCAGCAACATCATAAGCCTCCTGCTAACGTGATTCAAATTTTAGAAGTCTGGAGAAAAACCCAGCGACTAGAAACTGTTACAAGGAATGCCACAGCAATCCGGTCCAAGCCTAATGCAATTTATTACCAGAAGCACACCARCCTCCTGCTCACTACTGGTGGTGGTAGGATGACTCACACAGAAACCCCTTCAAGATGTGTTTTAAGAACTGCCACCAAAGTCAATTTTTCAAAACCTTTTCCCATCCAAAGACCCAGYCCTTTCATGCAAAGACTCACCCCTGCTGTATGCTTTCACTGAGTTCTGAAATATCCTGCTGAGGCTGCTTGGGCAGGAACTGGACCAGTGCTTGGGAACCCACAGATTCTTCTAATTCAGAGAAGAGGGGTGTTATTTAAGCCACAATTGCCTTCTCTGCGATTGACACCTACTATAGTGGAGTTGGAGCCAGTGCCCTGAGTTATGCAAGGGTGGACGTGGAGCTCAGGTCTAGAACTCTGCCTGTCTCCAGGTTCCTCCTCAATAAATTTTGGGATAAAGGAGGTGCTAGAGAGTGCACAGCTTCCCAAAGGGGAGACTTTGGGATTGCTGGGGACAGAACCTGAGAGAGGATGAAGAGGTGCGAAGGGAGTCCCCAGATGTCTTGCTCGCTTTAGTTAAATAAAAAATGATCATTTGGAAATACCTCCTTACTAACTTATTTAACACGACCAACAAACGTCTACATGGCGCCGACCATGCCCAACGACCAGCTGGGATTCGGAGAGCAACCCAGGAAGGCTTCCAGGCCCCCGCCTCGTGGGGACGGTTGTCGATCCCGAGGCAGACCTGAGTGGGGCACCGCTGMACGTCCTGGCCCAGGCTGATCTTCACGTGGCCGGATACTGGCGAGTCTGCGAATGGCCTTGAGGCGCGGCAGGGGCAACCTAGCGAGGTGGCGCGAGAACTTACTATCCCTCGCAGCCGGGCTCAGGCCCATTCCGTGGCTGCGGCCCCGCCGGCCCCCAGGCCTCGCAGGGGACAACGCTCCAGGCGAGTTCCCAATCGGCCAGCCGGGATCCGCGGAGCCGCGGGATGGTGGCACTGGGGCAGGCACGGCGAGGGACAATCGAGGGGGAAGGGCAGAGGGGCGTGGTGCCGGAACGCAGCGCGCAGTAAACGGTGGCGGCGAACGCGCGCGGGGACAACGACGCAGGCRGCGAGCGTGTGCGGAAGGTGAGAGGCGAGAAAGCAGCGCTCGAGACCGTGCGGGGCCTGGGCCGGGGGTGAGGGGACGACCAGGGCGAGGCCTTAGGTGAAAAGACTCCGAGGTGGCGCTTAATCGAATGTTATGGAGCAATGGGGAGACGCTTGGAGAGGAGTCTGGAGGAGATTAGGGAGATAGGGTTTTAATTTAAAAAAAAAAAAATAAGATACATTGTAGAAAATCAGATGTGACTGGGTAAGTATTACTGTCCTTGATGGAGTCTGCCTGCAAACGGGATATTCTGTCAAGGTATAGATAGGTAACAGCGGACATGCTTGMAAACGAGGTGTCTGCTGTCCTTGGGAGGAYTTACCTGCAAAAGGGATGTTCTGCCAAGTGGGCTAAGAGGGCACTAAGAAAAATTTTATTATCTGTTCTAAAAAGAGCAGAGCTCAGCATGCTCTGAGAATAGATTAGCCATGAGAAGCSSGTCACTTCTGATTAGAAAGTAAACTTCTGTATGCTATATTTAATTAGCTGAAAGACCTGAAGTTGGAAGGCTGCCTTCTTTGTTCACAATACTATAAAAAGATTGCTTGTATACAATAAAGGACTTTTTTTCTGCTGCTGCTTTGCTTGCTCTGCTTCTTCTTTCTTTCTCATGCTGACCTGCGAGTGAATTACTGCAACAATAAATATATAATGTAATATGTAATATATACAAAATCTCATGGAATGCATGTGGTTATTCAAATTGCTCGTGGGTACACCGTCCTGCTTAAGAATTTGAACACATCTGCTATGCATGCTGCATCTAAGCCTTCCTCCTTTACGCTACCGCCCTGCTCCTTGAATCCTGAGTTTTGTGTCTATGGCGTCCTTATTTGGATTTGGTTTTGGTTCATTGGTTTGGTTGGTTTTTTGAGACAGAGTCTGGCTATGATGACCAGGCTGGCCTCGAACTCATGGGCTCCAACCATCCTCCTGCCTCAGCCTCTGGAGTATCTGGGACTAGGGGACTACCATTGCATTAGTCCTGATGCTCCTGGGTTTGCCCTTTCTCTTTTAAGTTTCTAAATCCCTTCTTTGCATCCCTAATGCATTGTTTTGTTTCGCATATTTGAAACTTTATAAAAACTAGGGTATGGTGTGGTATTTGTGACCTTCCAAAATTCATAGCCTGAAATCTCAGCCCCTAAGGAGATGGTCTTAGTAAGTGAGGATTTGGGGAAGAAATTAGGTCTTGAAAGCAGACCCCTCATGAAGAGGATGTAAGGAGGATTAGTATACTTACAAAGGAGGCCCCTAGAGAGTATCCCCTTCCATCATGTGAGAAAGCAGAAGTGGCTATCTGTGAATCAGGAGTTGGGTCCACACCAGTCACTGAATCAGCTGTAGAGGTCTCAGGCTTCTCAGCCTCCTGTGAGAAATAAATCTCTTGTTCATAATATTTTTTAACAACACACCAAAACGGACAAAGAGAATGGTATCATGCCATGTGTTCTCTTCTGCAACTTTCTTCTTTCTATGATATATGTGTATTGTAGTATACAGCTGTAATTCTTTAATTCATTTTCTTTTCTTTCTTTCTCTCTTTTTTTTAAACTAGGGACTGAACCCAGGGTGCTGTACCACTCAGCAACATCTCCAGTTCTTTTTGGAGACAGGGTCTCACTAAGTTGCTGGAATTTGTGATCCTCCTGCACCACTATGCCTGGCTCTGTAAATCATTTTCACTGTTATAAAAATAGTCCCTTATGTGTTTATACCRTTTTTTATCAATCCAGTGACAAAGCCACTGAGTTGACTAGTTAGCTAGTTGTTTGACTTTCCAATTTGGAGTTGGAAAAAATTGAAAAGATCTCAAACTGTGCCCTGGTGTATGCAAGCAAGAGATTCCATGGGATTTAATATGTAGGAGGGTATGCAAATAATCAGCCTCATCAATTTCACTTCCACCAACATATTAGAATTCTTTTTTAATTACATCTTCATCAATACTTAGTTCTACAACAATTCTTAATTTTTCCACGAGAGTCTACTTAAAATATTATTTTACTAAAGTTTTAATGTGCATTTTTCTGGTCACTAAAACAGTTAAGACATATACACACACAAATATATATATATATACATATCGGCCACTTCGATTTCTTTTTTTATTAAAAATAATTAATGAAAACACTATAGGGAACATTAATAGGAAATGGTTGAATAAATTCTAGTAGATCCAGGCAATGGACTTCAATGCAGTCATTTTAAAAATGTGCTTTTGAAGCACATTTGTCTATCTGGGATGTTTCTTTTGATATCGTATTAAGAGAAAACCTACTGTACAGTATTAGAAAATACTTGGAAATTATCTTCTTATTGATTTTCAGGTGTTCTTTGTATATTCTTGATATTCATCTTTAGTCAATTATAATTGTTTAGATATACAGTCAGCCCTCCATCTCTGCAGGTTCTGCATAC